CGGTTTTGGGAAGTGTAGCACATGAGCATTTTATCTCATAATCTGTCATTCCTCGATTTTGTAGTGTCACGCAGTGGGGCAGATTCGGGAAGCTCCACAGCTGTCCTCAGCTCGTGCAATGTTTGCCTTATGTCGCGAAGACATTTACAGTGATCTGCTGCGCTCTTAAAGATTGCGAAGGACCGTACGGGCTGGGGTACAGAAATGCGACAATGGCAATGACGATAGGAAGCAACGCTGCAAGGCGGAGCACATCCTAAAACACTGGCTCAGTTTGGATTGCTCTCAGCAACTCCAGAACACAAAGTCGAATCGTACTCAGGTCTTGTACACAGCACCGCATGGCATGGTGAAATTGTAGTCAGGCGTTGCACACACCGGCGGGTTCTTTTGCCCATAAGCGTCTGTATCTAAGAAACCAATGACTTTGATACAGTATACACTCGGTGTGCACGCCATGCCTCGGCATTCGGGGATCGTAGACAGGCCAGGGGTATTGGTGGTTCGACTGCTTGAGTTGATTACGAGGGGAATTGTTCCGGGCGCGATAAGCGTGATAATGCTCAGTGAATGACGTGGAGTTTTGGATTATACCACCAGTTCACATGAGCTCGATAATGCTCAGTAAATTCCGCGAAGTTTTGGATTAAACAGTTTTAAACTACCAGTTCACAGGAGCCTGAGTTGATGAAGCTGTATCTTTCCAAACTTCGAAGTGGTCTGCCGCTGCCGCTTTCTCTGCCAGCCCGGGCCCGAACGGAACGCTCTTACCGCGTATATCAGTGATTTAGCTAAATATGATGCGGACCCTGTTTTTGCCGATGTGGTTATTAAAGAATGTTTACTCGGCTTCGGAAACATTGTTTATGGGTTATGGGACTTCATGCTGAATTTTCTTGTGATTTGTATTATACTACTATGCAAACTAGTACAAGGTTATTCATTTCGCTCAATAACGTCCTACAGGCTACAGCAGAGCCTCTAGGAAACTCGTGCCACGGAGTGGAATGTGCCTATTGTTTGTGAAAGGCTCATATGAAATATGTCTGGCATTGGGGTGTGCTCAGTCGTCACAGTGTTTTCGTTGTGTGTCGCTTTTCTTTCTTTGTTGTTTAGGGTTTAGGGTCAGTGTGTGTTGTGTGGTTGTTCTTTTGGGCTGGGGGAAGGGTCCCACAAGATATGCCTGGGACTGCTGTATTGAGTTTTCTTTTGTGTTTCACTTTTTTTTCCCCTTTACTTTTTGTGCCTAGGGTCAGTGTGCATTGTGTGTTTGTTTTGGGGGGCCGGGCCAGAGAAGGGAAAGCACACAACCCCCAGGAAGGGGGTGATCTCGTGCCTCATGGGTGTGTGTCCATGCGTGTGTTTGTTTTCTTCTTTGGGGGGGGGGGTGTGTAGAGCCTTGTGGGTGTGTGTCCATGCGTGTGTTGGGAGGGGGGGGGAGTGGAGAAGGGAAAGGAAACTGGGGTTGATCTCGTGCCTCGTGGGTGTGTGCTTGCTGCCATTTCCAGAATGGCAAATGCAGAATGCAGGGAAAGGAAACAACCCCCAGGAAGGGCGTGATCTCGTGCCTTGTGGGTGTGTCAATGCGTGTGTTTTTTATTTTCTGGGGGGGGGTGTAGAGAAGGGAAAGGAAACAACCCCCAGGAAGGGGGTGATCTTGTGGCTTGTGGGTGTGTCAATGCGTGTGTTTTTTATTTTTTTGGGGGGGTGTGGAGAAGGGAAAGGAAACAACCCCCAGGAAGGGGGTGATCTCGTGCCTTGTGGGTGGGTGTCCATGCGTGTGTGTGTGTGTGTGTTTTTGGAGGGGGGAGAGAGGGGAGAAGGGAAAGGAAACTGGGGGTGATCTTGTGCCTCGTGGGTGTGTGCTTGCTGCCATTTCCAGAATGACAAATGCAGGGAAAAGAAACAACCCCCAGGAAGGGGGTGATCTCGTGCCTTGTGGGGGTGTGTCCATGCGTGTGTTTTTTATTTTTTTGGGAGGGGGGAAGGGGGGGGGGAGGATGGAGAAGGGAAAGGAAACTGGGGGTGATCTCGTGCCTGGTGGGTGGGTGTCCATGCGTACCAAACGGCTTGCTGACATTTCCAGAATGACAAATGCAGTGGGCCCCTAAGTATAGCTCTGAGACCACAGTTGAGAGCAAGTGCATAATGATGAAAACAGACTGACAGTGTTGCTAGGTGCCAATACCCCTGACAATATTTCTCTTCATGTAACCAGGAGGGATTGAACACAGGTCATGCATTTGGGAGGCCCTCACAGATGCACACAAAGAGAGATGCTCAGAGATGACACACACAACACACACGGAAACATACCGTTGGTTGCATTGGGCTAGGTGGTACCCTTATTACATCCGCCCATCGGATGGGGGTAAGCAGGAAATCAAATTTCTGAAAGTCCCATGTCATTGGACTGCACACATATTGTTCAGGCAAAGAGGAATGGAGGAGGCATCCATCCAAAAGACTCTGTGAGCGTTTTCTTCATCCACAATTCAGAGTGCGATAAAAAAGATGAATAGATTTTCATCCGTGTGGAGTCAGAAAGGATGTTTCCTGTAGCACATTGACTCGTCGTTGGGTTTTGTTCGTCATCGCCTGTGTTGCAGTTTTCCTGTAGCACATTGACTCGTCGTTGGGTTTTGTTTGTCATCGCCTGTGTTGCGGTTTTCCTGTAGTGCATGG